GTGGGCGAGGCGGGCAAGATCTACTGGAAATAGAGCTGGGCCTGGCACGGGCCTGGCACGGGCTCTGCCCCTCACGGTTCAAGGTTCAAATCCCAGGAAAGCCACCAGTGGGAATTTGGGGGCCGTTCCCAGAGGGTGCAGCAATGGCTCCTGTAAGTGCTTCCTCATTTTAATCGCTTCCTTGGCCAACAGTTTGGTTCTCTCAGTCGTGTTCCTGACAACCCCAGTGCAGCCAGGTGGGTCTGAGCAGCCCTGGGGTGGGCTGGAGACAACACTGGAGACCCCTCCATGCAAAATCACAGTCTGGGAAGTGCACAAGCCTTTGTCACGTGGCTGTCTCCAGCATTGGGATTAACTTCCACTCGTGCCAGGTGGGGAATGTGGTGAATCTCCAGCTGTGAACCTCCAGATGTGAATCTCCAGCTGTGAATCTCCAGCTGTTTTCCAGCCATCGGGGCTGTTCCCTAACAGGGACCCTCCCTGTGCTGGGAAGTGCTGCTGAGGGAAACTGCAATGGAAGAGACAGACAAAGGCAGAACCCTCCACTCTAAAAACCTCATCAGACCAGGAAAAACTGGCCTCCCAAACACCAACTATTGGATTTTTCTCCATTTGCTGCCTGGTTTGATGGTGGCCCAGCCCCTTGACACACCTGTCATTTCCAAACCTGAACCTGCTGTCCATCAGATGCCAGCAGCGTTCAGTGTCTGCTGCCCCCTTTTTCTGCAGCATCCCCATGTGAATTCCCACAAATTCCCATCAGATTCAGGGGTTTATTTTTTTACATGAGTAGAAAGATCAGACACAAAACACGTCCTTGGCTTGTGAAACATTCCTCAGGAATTCTGAAGTGCCTTTATTCTGGAACCAGCATTTTCACCTGCAATAACACTGAGGGACACCCAGGAATTATGAACATTTGGAAAACAATCGGGGTTTTTGTGCAGCTCAACACTTGTGGTTTTCTTTTAGTAGTTTCATATAGTTATGAAACCATTTTAATGTTCTTACTGAAAGGATCAGGTTTCCCACACACAGAGCAGATGAGGTGGTTTGGAGCTCCCCTTAAACACAGATTCAGAGAAATCTGATTTTGAATCAGAGAAAGCGGATTGTATTCTGGGCTCCGATGTCCTGATGGTACTCCCATGTTGGCATATTCTCCTTTGGGATTTGAAATAAAGCCTAATAAATTAAATAAAAAATTCTATCTACAAGTATTTCCTTGGAATTGATTCCCAGGGCTGCTGGGGGGAGGAGGGAAAGGGGCTGTACATGGTGTGGGGGCTGTGGGGCAGTGGGGAGGTCACAGCTCCAGCCAGGGAAGGCAGAGGAAATAACGACGTGGAGGGGTGAAATCAGTGCCTGTGCAGGGAATCAATGTCAGTTATTGATCAGAGCAGCTGATCATTGCAGAGAGGGCAACAGAGAGAGCTGGCCCAAGTCCAATATCCATCTCCATCACAGGCACCTTGGTCCAGATTGCCATGTGAGCCTGATGTGAAATGGGAGGGACCCCAAATCCCACCCAGTGCCACCCCTGCCATGGCAGGGACACCTCCCNCCTCTGCAATCCTCCCCTTTGAACATTCTCACCTCAGAGCCTGCTGGGAGCACCCCAAACCCTCGTGTTTGATCTCCTGCCCTCTGTGTTCAGAGCTTTGTATCCAGAGGAGGTGGAGCTTTTATTGTGACCACACAGTGCTGTAGTTTGCTGGCTCTGGAGAAGGAATGGAAATGGATAATTTGTCCAGGAGTTGAAGCTTTCCCTAAGGGAACGTCTTCCCTAAGCATCCCACTGCTGCCTTCCACCCACTGGAGTGGGGGAATAGTTAATGTAAGGCCTTGGCTGAGCCAAAGCTTTGTTAAACATGGCCCAAACTTCCTGGGTTTTATCCTACAATCTGCTTTGTTTCTTGCTTTCAAGAAAAAGAAAAAAATTGAAACCAACAAACAAAAACCCCACTGGAAATGGCACAGGATTTGTTAAGGAGTGATCTTGTGTTTGTGGGAACAGAGAAAAACTTGACAATTTATGTTGGTCAGACCCTAAGTAAAGAAAGAGCAGAGATCTCTCAGCTTCAGAGCCACGTTTTTTCAGGCCAGGGATCATTGGTTCCCTTTTGGTCACTTCTCAGGGTTCAAAGGTCTCTCCTCTGGCTCTCCTCTCCCTCTGCTGCTGCAATCTCTCTCAGCCTTTTTGCTTTCCCTTGGAAAAAGAGAGTGGAATTGTCAGCGTTCAAACCCACAGAATCACAGGGATTATATGCAGTGCTTTTTATGAAGAGCTCTGGGTGTCAGGGGTACATTCAACCCAAATCTGACTCCAGCCATACATCCGAAATGATCATGTTTTATACTCTATTGTTACATAACTTTCATGTTAATTATTAAACTTATATTGTTCTATTGTATACATCAATTTAACCCCTCTCTGAATTTTCAACATAGTTTCTCACTATTCTTCTTATGATTATATAATAATTACATTTAATTACTAAACAATCATCACATCTAACAATTCTATAATTTATCATACTGCTTACGCAGGTGCAGATGATCTGGGAAAGCACAAAGCCCAACATTTTACATTCTATCTTTAACTTTTTCCAGGGCTCCACTATCAGAATCACTTTTCCCAATAGAAGGGAAAATGACATTCTTCTCTCTATGCCGTGACTTGGTGTTTCTCTGTGTGGCAGCTGCTGAGGAACAACCCCTGCCCTGCAGGGAAGATCTGTCCTGGCTCTGTGCAGCCCTTGGCTCATTCCCCCTCTGACTGAATGTCCTGCCAGCCCAGCCCCTGCTGTCCCTGGGCTTTTCTGGGATAGAACTGTTGCTCCCTGCTGTTCTGCCTCCCTCCTGCTCTCTCTGAACCCTTCCCAGAGCACAGCCAGCCCCAGCCCCTGCTCTCCCCATCCCACCAGCCCGAACCCCGAGGCAGCCCAGGCTGACCTTGCCGTGTCTGCTGCAGGAGGAGGTGGATGCCGGGGCCATCATCTTCCAGGAGGCGGTG